CTAAAAGAGACTGTTAAAATAGGTTTTAAAATGAAATATTGTTTTTAAAAAAGTAACTGCAATTTGTTTTTCCTGGGCATAAGCCTTCCCATAAGAACCCCCAAAAATTGCACGGACAGATTGGGAGCCACAGACCTAGGTTCTTTTTTTTTTTCGTAATTTTTAATTTTTTATTGAGACAGAGTCTCACTCTCACCCAGGTGAGTGATGTGCCATCAGCCTAGCTCACAGCAACCTCAACTCCTGGGCTCAAGCAATCCTCCTGCCTCAGCCTCCCAAGTAGTTGGGACTACAGGTGTACGCCATCACTTCCAGCTAATTTTTTCTATTTTTAGTAGAGATGGGGTCTTTCTCTAAGGCTGGTCTCGAACTCCTGAGCTCAAAAGATCCTTCTGCATCGGCCTCCTAGAGTGTTAGGATTATAGGCGTGAGCCACCGTGCCTGGCCAGATCTAGGTTCTAATTCTAACTCTGTCCCTATCTTGTTTAGGCAAGTCATTTTATTAATCAGTGCCTTAGTTTCCTCAGCTGAACATGATGGGACTAGAAAAGAGATTTTTCCGATCTTTAAGTATAAAACTGGACAGTTACCAAAGAGAAGAATGCTGTAAGACATCAGCCACTTAAGAGCAATCAGGTCAAAATGAGCTATCAAATACGGGTAACTTCAGCCCGCTTCAAAGTACTGCGAGAGGTACTTCAATGTACTGACCCCGACCATCCCTATTTTGATGGTCATGGGCTGTCTCAAGCCCAGGATTCTCAAGTCAGTAGTGAGGTGATCTGCATCACAGCTTAAAGGTTACCTCCACGTATTGGCATCAGGATCAAAAACTTCAATGGTCTTCAAGTATGTCGTGCCATCAAAACCTCCCACTGCCATGAGCTGTCCATTGACCACTGCCAGGCCAACCTACAGAACCAAAACACAGTGGCTGCTGAAGAAACTAGACAATTACTGGGACATTTTAGACCGGTTTCTAGGAAAATATCTTCAATAAAAGATAATTCTTTATGGCCTTACATTCTGGTTTGCTTGAACACAGAGGGAAAATGTATAACAACAACAAACGTGTATTAAATTACAGGAACTATAAAATTAATATTCAATTAGAATATTTATGCAGAGTCTAAAACATGTATTTCTTAAATTTTAGCAGAAGCATTCACTAGGAGTGAGCAAGAATCTCTAAACTGTTTTCACTTCCTCTGGTATTTGCCCACTCCAATCCACCTTCTAAATTGCTACTATAATTTTCTTTTAAAAATATAAATCTAATCATGTTGTCACTTTCCTCTTTAAAACCTTTTTGAGCCTATCTATTGCCTAAGAGTAGTTTAAAGTCCCTATCATGTTACTCAGGCCCTCCAGAAAGCTCACTGTCTGTCACCTCCTGTATTTTCCCCTTCCTCCCTCTACGGCACCCTGAACGGCAGTAGGACTGGATTAACTGCTAGTCCCTGAAAATACCATATATTTTCACACATCCTTGCTTTTGCACACGTTGTTCCTTGGCTGGTGTTTTCTGCCCCTCTTCTAGAAACCTCATTCTTCCTTCATGACCTAGCTTATATGTGACTGTCTCTGGTAGTCTCTTTACCTCCCCCACCCATTCTTACTTTCCCAAAGCAGTAAGCACATTCTCCCACGTTTCCCTGTAACACACATGCCACTACTATAGGATTTATTTATTATAGTTAGCTGTAAGCATTTCCATTTCCTTCATTAAGTTGGAAGCTCATTGAGGAGGGGAATCATGTCATACTCAATTTTGCTTTCCCAGAACACATTAAGCGCTTAATGAGTACATGAATAAAAATGTAATCAACAGAATGTAGCAGTAAAAATAACAGGAATGTGACTAAGAAGCTGTTAGCTACCAGTAATAAAAAGCCATAGACATGTGAATGCTTTGACTTGCTGATGCCTTCCAGTGGTGGACCTTGATTTATGTAAATCAGAATTCATTCCCTTTTATCCTCAGATTATGGAGTCTTTAGCCACTGCTTGCTTCTCCTTCCTGTTGTGGATGTGTCTGTCCTACACTGACGGACTCCTGACATGATCAGTGGCTAATGGGTTACACCTCACCCTGAGCAAACATCCCAGGATGGATGAATCCTATACTTCACTCTGAAAGTCTCTTGTACTCGCAGGTCATGCATGGTCTAGAATGACACAGGTCAGCCTGATCTGGCCTATATTATAGATGGGATAGACTCAAACCAGCTTGTGGAGACTGGTGGTGGGGCCACATGGGTTTTTGCCTAAACATTTGTATTAGTATGACAACTACTCAGAATATTAGCTAGAAACATTAGGTAGGCATATTTAGCTCCAATAGATAGGAAGTTAGATAAGGTAGTAGATGACACAAGGAGATGCCTTCCAGAGAAGCAACTGATATAAGATAAATCATAAAAAATTAACTCTCTAATTAAAGATATGACTGGATGTAAGATTTTTAACTACTTGAGATAAGAGCAATCAAAAGAAATTGAATATTTTTTCTGGCAAAATTA